TGTTAGATTCCTCTTCTGCTTCCTACTTTTGGAAACTGATCCAATTTGTCTAGAATAAAAGGGCTAGGGGTTGGTGCCTGGTCTAGAACTCAGCCACGCTGTGCACCACTTGGTCATTGGGAATGACATGAGCAGACCAGAAAGAACACACAGTGACAGCTGTATAGGAGGATGCCTTAAAAAAGGTCCCTACCACAACCAGGAGAAACACAGTGAGCCTGTTGCAATAGTTTAGGCACATGAGAAATAACCAGCAGAGTAGCTGAGGCTGGAGTAGAGAGGTTGGAGACATAACTGAGAAAGAACATCTGGAAGGTGTGGGAGGGGGGGTTGAAGAAGGAAAGCCCTCCACAGAGAGGCACCAGACGATAAAGACTGAATGTCTTTTGTTTGGGCCCTTAGAGGGCAGCTGTAGCACAAGAGAGTGAAGTTTTAGTGGAGGGGTGGTAAGGTCTGAAGCCAGATAGCCTTAGTTGACGAACTTGAACATGCATTCAGAAGCATGCGAGTTTACTGTGAAAGTAACCCCAGGCAATGACATGGAGTTCAAGGGATGAAGGGAAAGAACTGGAAAGGTTGCTTGGGGCCATGTTGTGAAGGCTTTGGGTACTGGGGGTAGGTTATTGGTAATGTTAAGATCCAGTTCTGTGCCGTTAGATTGTTGTTAATGTGAAAAAATGAGAGGATTAAGACTAGATGGGAGAAACTAGGCACAGCTAAGGCTCATTAGAAGGCCAATGCCATTTTTTATGCTCCTGATGATTTTTAACAGCTATTTTAACAACAGAATGATGAAAATGTGTGGTATTCTTTCTCCTTTGGGATAATGTGGCCACTGAAAAAGGTCACAACTAATAGGAAAAATGAGTTTTATTGCTTAACTGTGGATTCAATTAATTTATGTTCTTCCTGTTTTCATTGCCCTGTTTTCTTAGCTGACTAGTTGGCTAAGCCAGGCTTCTCTACAAGAATATGCATGTTAGGACAAATACTTTGGAGTTCTTCCCCATCCTGAAAATAATTAACATAAAAAAGCCAAGATATATACAAAAGAAAGCGTAGATGGTTTAGGCTCATTTTTGTATTATTTTAGATGTGAGGAGGAACCATTGAGTTTTGTGTTATGGTTTAAATCAAGGTTTTTCAGCCTTGGCACAATAGAAATTTTGAGCTGGTTAATTCTTGGTGTGCATTGTAGGGTGTTTAGAATCATCCTGGACCTCTACCCATTAGATGCCTGTAGCACTCCATGTATCCCAGTTGTGATAACCACCGATGTCTCCTGATGTTGCCCAAAGTCCCGTGGGTAGGGGTTAGGGTGAAAGGCAAAATCACCCTCACTTGAGAACTGCTGGTTTAAAGATATTGTTGTGATTTTAACAGAAAACCGCCAGATTTTCCTGCTACAATACTGATGGTTTTATTGAAGATTGTAAAATCTCAAATTCTTTTTATCACTAGAAGAAAACTAATGAATGTTTATAAATTCCTTGTAGGGAGTTTCTTTTAAAATATTTGAAAGGAAAAGCTACTTTACTGGTTGCTACATATGTACCTGACCAGTCGTCTAACGATTCCAGCCACTTACTCTTTTGTTTAATTACTAGATCTGCTATAACTTAATTTTATATAGACAAATGCTGATTTTATTCCTGGGCCCTGAAATCCTCAATGCAAAGGGTATTATACTGAATTAGAAAATGCTAAAATAATACTAGCAATTTAGACCTGGATATAAAAATGTAAATTTCACACAGCACCTGGATTCTAGTGTTAGTTTCATATCTAATTTATTCTAATTTGGAGTAAGCTCTTCAGCCCTTTTGTGCAAATTTTCTCATCTGTAAAAAGATAAACTATAATATCTGTAAGTTTGCTTCTATTCTAAACATCAACACTTGAATGTATTTATATTATTTCATTGGGTTGTTCCTCCTGCTTCCATAATTTACCTTCCAATGGAATTAAACACAGAATGTGTCCCAGAATGTAGTCTATGGTGCTGTTCTACTATAAGATGAGTATAGGAAGGGACAGTAAACAGAAACATTTAATATAATTTGGCAGTATATTTTATGCCTATTAGATGTAATAATAAAAGTTGGGCTTATATTTTGTCTCTTTGAAATTCATTTTTTTCTAGTAAGTCACTTTTATTATATTTTATAAAAGTAAAGGTCTACACTGGATTAAAAAACAAAAACAAAAACAAAACTGGTCTTTCACTAGAGGGAGTTTGGGAAGCAATGCCTGGATGTATGATGGAAAATTTGTCTGCATCTCTTTCTATCATGACTAATAAGAGATACTTAGTATATTCCGTCTCCCTGGGATGCAAATAAAAACAGGGCAAGATATTGTCTGTTTACTCCATTAGCAGCATAAAGTTGGTGGCAAATAGAATAGATTGTAAAGAAATTTGTCTAACAGAAAATAAGACGTCATTTATTTAGCTCAAATTAGTTTCTTGAATTAAAATAACATGTTTATTTTAGAACATAAACCCAAAGAACGATGAGAATGTCTTTTCTTTAATTATCTTTTTTTTTTTTTCTGAGAGTCCTTACATATGAAATCCACTCTAATGCTTGGTATACTAAAGTATCCATAAGTAGTTGATGGTAGTGAGGGTAGGTGACGAAGGAAAAGGTGTGGATTACATTTGCTAAAGAGATTTTCACAGACGTTTTGGAGTCTATTCAGTCACTCAAATTAATCCTTCATTTAGGAAGATCTGTTACATGGACCCAGATGTGATAGAATGATGTGTAAACAAGGATGGTTAAGCAATGGGGCACTTCACAGCATGACCTTCATCTGATTTTCCAGTATTATTGTCCAATCTTTATGTGGTAAAATATGGTGAAGGAACACCACTTCTCACTGATAGTTATTTGAAGCAGAAAACACGGTTGGGTTCTTTGCACTATGGACCATTTATTCCAATACCTTTTATCCCATAAAGAGTGGAATAATCCAGCAGCCTGGTGCACCTCCTGGGAGCCCTGTGCACATGACCTGGCATTGCTTGGGAACAGTCTCTTAACCGTGGCCAACATGGACTTTGTAGTACACTTCCTCCTCCAAAGCCAGAAAGGCAAGATCTTTGCCTGCACTATTAGCAGCAAAAAATCACCCTTTCTTTCAGTTTTTTAATTCAGATGATGAAAGTATATAACATATTCGGAAACTCCACTGGCAGACTTGGCAGGCATTTCATATTTACTTGGACTTAACATGAATTGGATTTGGTTCTCTGATTTCCCCGCCTCCATCTCTCGTAACAAGTTATTTATTATCTGAATGAGTCTGTGTTAGTGGATCAGACATGCACATGGCACGTTTCTTGTAAGTACATTTGTTCAGTAAGATTTATGCTAGCCCAAATTGTTTTATATTGGTTTTCATTGTTGAAAATTTACTGTATTCATTCTCGGTTTGGCGTAAGTATTGGTAGTGTGCTAGGGGTTCCTGTGGTTGAACATTTTATCTCTGTAACACTTCACGCAAAGGAAATTAAAAAATATATAATGAAAGCATTTCCCTAATGTGTTTCCAATCAGCTGTGTACTTTAGTAATTTGATTTGTAGGAACCAGAGAGCAGAGTATTACTGAGCCCTTTTCAATCATTCATAATTCTTTGGGAATTAAACATCTATTGAATTTTTTCTAAGTCTTTTATTATTCTGTTTAAATGTATTAAGAGGGATTTTTTTTTTAACCACAGCATTATCTAAAAGTTCTCATGGAAGGAATGAGTCTTTCTTTTCTCTGTGTCTTACACAAGAAAAACTGATGTGAATTGAGGTTGATTAGCTTGCCAGAAATCAGTCATTGAAACAGAGAGCCAGGCCCTTTTATTTCTGCATTATAACATGTGGGTGTTCCTGCTTCTGTACTTTTTGTGTTAAGCAATCCAGACTATGTATTGCTAAATCTCTTTGCCTACTGGGCTCCCAAGGATACAGTGACTGTAGCCATAGCCAGGTGCATCTTCCTAGAACAGGCATCCCCAAACTTTTTACACAGGGGGCCAGTTCACTGTCCCTCAGGCCGTTGGAGGGCCGCCACATACTGTGCTCCTCTCACTGACCACCAATGAAAGAGGTGCCCCTTCCTGAAGTGCAGCGGGAGGGGGGCGGATAAATGGCCTAATGGGGCCAAATGTGGCCCACGGGCTGTAGTTTGGGGACGCCTGGCCTAGAACATGTAACCTACAGTGCGGAGGGTTGGTTGTACAAACTGACTCAAGACCTAGGCTGTGATCTCCACACTATTGTTTCTTTGGCCTTTTTCCACAGAGACTCTTAACTGGCTTATTTCTTCTTTTGAGGATCTCTGGCCTTTGACTTTTGTTTTTGCCAATGAGTAAACATGTGATAATCCATACTTGGGTAGTTTCAGATTTGCTTAATCTAATTTACTACCTAAAAGTAATATAAAAAATAAATAGTCATAGCTCTTAGAACTGGAGGTAAGAGTTGGAGGGTTTTATCTAGTGAAGACAGTAGCTCTTTAAGAATCTGAGATGGGTATAGAATTTTTAGTTCAATTTCTATATTTTATTTTCCTGCTTTGATTTTCTGTCATGTTTTAAACTTTACTCTTGACCTTCAGCAAGTTTGAGTTAATTTAATCTCATGTAATATCTCTTTCACAGTGATGTTTTTAGCTCTGGTCCTCCTCAGACATCATTAGGCATAAATTAAGTTATGAGGTTAGACATTTTGGCCACGAGTGTTCATCAGTCTACGGCTTTGCACTTGATAATATAATCCAGGAGGTTAATCTTCTTAGTAGTCAAGGAATTAATGTAAGTGAATGTCAAGTGGATACTTGGAAGGCTTAGTTGTGTTTTTGGCAAAAATAGCCAAAAAGCATGGTGGTTGCTGTGGTGGCTAATCTGGGCTTAGAGAACATAACTTATTTTGCTCCAAAATGTAAAGGAAACCCACGTTCATTCTTGGCCTTTCTTCCTGCTTCTGTGTCTCCTGTCTAGGCTGCACCTATGAAGGAAATACCTATAACAGCTCCTTCAAATGGCAGAGCCCGGCTGAGCCTTGTGTTCTACGCCAGTGCCAGGTAAAGTTCAACTATTTCTCTCTCCAGTAAAAAGGAATCCATAGAGTCCTCTTCAGTTACCCCTTCCCACAACACAGAACAAAACCCTAAAAAAGCCAAACAAAAATGAAAAACCAATGAAAAAGCAACTGTATCCTTGTGTGTGTTTACTGTTTGACAATCACCATAACAAAACAGGTACAGCATAGATATTTTATAGAACTTGCTTCCAGAAACACACAGCAGAATTGTGAACCATTGTTGAAACTGTCCTGGAAAAACTCCAGGAAGATTCACACGTCCTTGGGGAAAATTCATGTCTTCCTGTGAAGTAATCTGTGAGCACAACATGAATTCCTCTTAGCAGAAAGGGGGTATTGTTAATGGATGTATGTTTCCCTTCTTTGATTTAGAAAGATTTTGAAATGGATCCAATCTGTAAACTATTACACTGAAGCAATTAGTACACTGTAACTCGATGATTTCAACCTGGCAAATTAAAACACCAATTCAGCAACTAGGGAGTCCACTGTGGCTGATCCTTACTGAACTCTGTTTCAGAGCAGTAATTCTACATGGCTCTAATCCTGTCAGGTGTTAAACACAGCAAGAAAAACTAAAGCAGAAATGAAAAACTTGAATTTTCAAACTCCTACTTTAATAAAACAAACAAAAACTCTGTATAAATACTCTGTTAAAAATTATGCCCATATAATTTTGACAAAACTTAAATATTCTTCTTTGTAGAGAAGGTGCTATTAAATTATTTTGTCCCTGACCCCATTTCGTTGTCCAAGGATGTGTTTTTGCATTTAAAGGAGATTGAAATGTTAGTGTAATAATGGATATTTCTCTTTGCTCTTATCTTTTTTTTTTTTTTTTTTTTTTTTTTTGAGACAGAGTTTAACTCTTGTGGCCCAGGTGGGAGTGCAATAGCATGATCTCTTAGAATTGGAAGTAAGAGTTGGAAGGTTTTATCTAGTGAAGACAGTTCACCACAACCTCCTTCTCATTGGTTCAAGTGATTCACCTGCCTCAGCCTCCCAAGTAGCTGGGATTACAGGCATGTGCCACCATGCCTGATTAATTTTGTATTTTTAATAGAGTTGGGGGTTTCTCCATGCTGGTCAGGCTGGTCTTGAACTCCTGACCTCAGGTGATCTGCCTGCCTCAGCCTTCCAAAGTGCTGGGATTACAGGTGTGAGCCACCACGCCCAGCCAAATTTGTTTTGTTATATGGATGAGGGGTTTCCTATGTTGTCCAGGCTGGCCTTGCACACCTAGCCTTACCTCCTTATGTGCCAGGAAAACAGGCCTGAGCTCTGATATTAAGCATAGTGACATTTGGTTTACTGAAATCTAAATTTTATGTAGTTATGTTCCTATGACATGCCACGATAGGTATACTCATTCATAAGACTTTCAGCTATTTATTCAGTTAAATATTCAACTTATTTATTTAGGAAATCTGTTATTTGTGAAAATAAGCAGTAAGTAAACAAATATAAATAATACATTATTAAATCAACAAATATTTGCTGAGTTTTTACTCCAGGATGTAGGTTCAATTGGTGTCATACTGCAAAGAGATGACAGCAATAAGTTTCCATAACACCAAAAGCCCACATTTGTTCCAAAATTTATACCACTCCACTCATGCTCTGCTTCTTGACTAGCAAAATTTTCACATTTTGGTAGAGCACTCAGAAAACCAAAGCCATGGTGACAATGTTAAACAAGACAATCACATATCCTCTAGAATCTAGAATAGTATTTCTACATAACAGTTAGAGGTTTTGAAGAAACTCAAGTTGCATAGAGCAGGGGTGAATTTTGCTGCCTTTGGGGTGAACACTTTGTTTAAATTAAGTGGAAGCTTTTTTTTTTTTTTTTTTTGAGATGGAGTTTTTGCTCTTGTTGCCCAGACTGGAATGTAATGGTGCAATCTCGGCCATAACCTCCACCTACCGGGTTCAGGCAATTCTCCTGCCTCAGCTGGGATTATAGGCATGTGCCACCATGCCTGGCTAGTTTTGTATTTTTAGTAGAGATGGGGTTTCTCCATGTTGGCCAGGCTGGTATCAAACTCTTGACCTCATGATTCGCCAGCCTCAGTCTCCCAAACTGCTGGGATTATAGGCATGAGCCGCTGTGCCTGGCCAAGTAGAAGCTATTAGCTATTATATGGGAGGGACTATTTTGTTGACTGAATTACACGTTAAGCCATTATTCATTGTTTACCCTGAAACTCTGATTGCCTAGCATCTCTGGTCAGTAGCCAGAAACAGTGATGCCAGAATTTCAAATTATTGTTGGAAGAGATCTTAAAGTCCAGCAGCCCTAGGAGTCAGCATATGCTGACCTGTAAAATGGGGCACAGAAAGTGGATGCTACCTACCCAAGAGGAACTTTGCCTTTCATTTCTCCTTGTTTTCTAAATTTTTCCCTGTGTCCTGCTAGCTAGGATAATATTTTATTCAATACACAGAAAAGCAACCTGTGATGAAGGGACCTGCCAAAGGCTGCTAGGGAGTTTCCCTCTCCTTCTTACTTGTTCCCTTCTTTAGGTATGAGACCTTGTCATGGAATGCAGGAAATTGTCATTTACTGGCACATGTCAGGGAAGTCTACTTGCTTCTCTGCAGAATGACACAATAGTAACCTCTCTTCTAATGCTCTTCTTTTCTCAGGGCCCAAAATCAGTAACAGAGGATACAGCGTAGGGCAGTAGGTGAAACATGGATTCTGCCTCTCACGTAACTTGCTACTTAACCTCTCTGTACCTCACCTTAACCACCTATAAAACAGAAATAGTACTATCTTCAGCTATCTTCACCTGCATTAAAATAGTGCTATCTTCATCTTCATTAAAAATGCTTCTGGTAGAGTGCCTGCATGCACCAGGTACAACAAGGTCCCAGACAGATGACAGGAAGTCTAATGATCTGGCCTAGTTCCGTTTGAATTGAATTCTACCTTATTTCGTCTGTCTTCCTAACAAGGGAACTCTGATGATGAGACATTTACTTTTATTTTCCTGCCTTTAATTTCTTATGGGAAGAGGAAAATTTGAAGATCACAGACAGGAAATTCATGCTGGGAACTAACCTGAATCCTCCATCTGGATTGCAGATACTGAAGAAAAATTGATTTGGGTCCATGCATAGCTTTTTGCATTGCTTCAGTTACATAACTAAAGCATAGATCTTTTTGAGGTGTTGTGTACTGCTGATACTTTAGTTGTTTCTTTCCTTCCCATGTGATATAGGCTATAATAAATTCTCCAGCAAGTGGAAACCTCAGGCCTGACATGATATGGAGACATTTAGGATGTAGCCCTCCTTGTTGGGTTGAGATGATGTGGTCACAGACACGATGAAGAAAATGACCTAGTTGTCAATTTGTTACATTTTTTTTTTCATCCTGTGCCACTATTTTGTTGACTGAATAACACATTAAGCCATTATCCATTGTTAATCCTGTAACTCCGATTGCCTAGCATCTCTGGCCGGTAGCCTCTCAGCAGGGCCCAGAAACACAAACAACAAAACAAAATAAAACAAACAACAACAAACACGAAACAACAACAAAAACCAAACAGACACACAAATCCATTTATAAAATGGGTAGAGAATCTGGAGAAAGTCATTCAAAGGCCAACTCTGAAAATTAATTTTAAAAATATTTCAGTTGACATTAAGGTGATATGAGAGTCCCACTATCAGTTTGCAAATGACTCACTTGATTTTATTACTAAGCCCTAAAGTTTCTATTTTAATTTATATAATATGAACTTAAAAATAGTTTTGTCTAATGTCTTCCTTTGATGTTTGAGGAACACTGAGACCCAGGATCTGTGTGAGGCACAGTGACATTTCTAAGATTGCAGAGCTGGTCTAAAATTATTTCTAGAAGGTTGGTAAGGATTTAGGATCTCCAGGTGCTAGTCTGGGTTATGATGCTTATACTCTGTGCCTCACCATTAATGGCTTGACGTGAATAACAATGACAGAAAATACAGGAAGTGTGGAAAACCTCAAACAGTTGTGAATGAGCAGCTAGACTCTGCTGGGTGCTTACTGACAGCAAGAAGGTCTTAAAAACTGGATTTAAAAGAAAGAAAGAAATTAGGGCCAAAGAGAAAGCAAGGACAGGGAAAAGAAGATGTGACAGATGTGCACTGTGAGTTATAGAGCATCGACTGGGGTGAGCCGGGATCTCACCCTTCTCACCTCGTTAGTACCTCTGGCCTCGACACCCACTGAGCCTTGCGGTTTTTGTGCTTGGACACTTCTGCTACTTAGGTCACTTTCCAAAAGTAGTCACTCCGTGGGAATTCTGGGCTAACGTTGCTTGTGGTGTTCTGTGTTTCAGGAGGGCGTTGTCACAGAGTCTGAGGTACGCTGTGTGGTACATTGTCAAAACCCTTTGAAGCATCTGGGAACGTGCTGCCCCACGTGTCCAGGTAACGTTCTCAGGAACGCAAGACTGGAAATCCGTGTGTGTTCTCTCGGGAATGCTTGAATCTCCCAACCCCTCTTGTTGAAAATTTTCCTCACTTTACATCTGTGTACATAATGGGTTTAGAGAGTGAGCTCCTTTGCATAGAAATATCCGCTTGACCTCCTTGGCATGCCCAGCATGAATGCGATGTGCTGGAGGTCCTGGCATGGTGGTTCTCCAGGCTCCTAGGCCTGCTTTCCACTCCACAGGGCCACAGGTAATGCTTATTTTGGAAGAAAAGACTGTGGCTTTCTCTGGCTTCCAGAAATGTCTTTTTACTGCTTCATATTGCAAAACCCTGGCCAGAGCTCACCGTGGTGATGAGGCAACCAGATGTTTTCTGAAAACTGAGAGCTGTGTCCCAAAGTGAATTTAGCTTAGGGTTTTCCTGGTCTCAGTTTTCCATGTGGTTCAACAAGGTGGACCCTCTGTCTTTTATAGAGGGCCCTGTTTCCTAGGCTGACAGCAAAAGAATCTTTCTTTTGCAGTAGCTGGAACGTTTCCTTTTACTTTTCTGAACAGGATTACAAAGGCCTCCTGAATCTTTTCCTGCCTTTACATACAAGCCTGGGGATTTTAAGGTGAGAGATTTCTTCTGATCTCTTAAGCCACTGGCCAGTAGTCTCTGACAGGTGTTCTGCGTTTCAGTGTTTTTTTTTTTTTTTTTCTTTTTCTCCTGAGTGCTTTTCCTCGAGGATAGTGATAACAACTACTGCTCTGCTTTTGAGGTTAATCTCCAAAGGGCCTTTTTTTCTTGGAAACCTCCCGTGAAGTGGTTAAGGCACCACCAGAGCTCTGCAGAGATGAACTTCTGCTCCATTCTCAGGCACCTGCCACTTTTCCTCCACACAGTCTCAAAGGCATGGTCCCTCTCAGAGTTCAGCCTTTTCTCACCCTTGAATGACAAGGACAGCCAGTTTCCACTTATGGCTAACCCTCCTCAGCTCCCCAGGCCGTCTTTATTCAGCTTCTTTTTCACACTGGGATTTCTGTAAAGCTTGTATTCTTCATGAGCTTACGTGAAAGCCAAAAACTGGTTCAAAGTAAAACCACTTTTTTCCATCATCCCGTTGTTTTCTATCTATCAAGCAGAGAGTTTGCTTGAGTACTTTTCCCTCTGAATGCGCTGAAAGGTTTGTATTGCCTAACCATATCCTTAAATATCTACAGGATCTTTATTAAATGAGATGATTAGTTGTCCAGGCTACAGTCTAGAATCGCCTGGAAATCCTTAAAAAAAAAAAAATCAATCTTGATGCTCATACTGCATCCCAGACCAATTCCATCAGAATCTCTGAGGAACTCTGGAGTCCCAAATCTCCCAGATAATTTCTATACACAGCCAACCCTGACATTGATAACAGAGCATATTTTATATACCATATAGTTTAAAAAAATATTGGCTGGGCACAGTGGCTCATGCCTGTAATCCCAGCACTTTGGGAGGGGCCAAGGTGGGTGGATCACGAGATCAAGAGATCGAGACCGTCCTGGCCAACATGGTGAGACCCCGTCTCTACTAAAAATACAAAAATTAGCTGGGTGTGGTGGCGCATGCCTGTAATCCCAGCTACTGGGGAGGCTGAGGCAGAAGAATTGCTTGAACCTGGGAGGTGGAGGTTGCAGTGAGCTGAGATGGAGCCACTGCATTCTAGCCTGGCAACAAAAGCGAGACTGCTTAACAAATAAAAAGAAAAGAAAAAAATAAATTATAGCTCTTAAATATGAATTCAGTTGTGTTGAGTAGACTGTTGCTTTATTGAGACAGAATCAACTCACAGCCACCGCCTACTCATAACCAAGGGACCCGTAATGGACCGACAATAATGCAATGAACACTTAAAGCTCAAGATCTCTTACCCTAAAGAACATACTCCTCACTTAGGAGATAGTCATATTTTCAGACTGCCTTTGAAACTGTGGGTACACAAACAGCAGAGTGATATATTTCAGCAGCTGAAGTGATCATATTTGAGCAGTTGCTTCTTCCACTCTCTTTTTGGTTGAGTTTCTAGGAAGTAAAGTGCTGAACTCCATGACTGCTCACATTGCAGCGATAAGTCCTTACAACCATCCTCTGGTTATACAAGAACAAATTAGGCCACTGAGAGAATAAGTGCCTGCCTGAGGTCCATGAGTGAGTAAGGGCCAAAGGTGGGGTCAGGGTCTGGCCCCTCCTCTTTTCTGGCCACCAAAGGGCACTACCTCCCATGCCCACACACACCGTGAGAATTGAAAAGCTTAGGTGCAGGCGCCCTGGTAGGCAAATCTTTAAGAATTGGCATGCTACTGCTACCCACCAGTACCCTGACACCTGGGCAGGCTCTGTGTCCTCAGTTATGGGATAATGAATCAATTTCATTCCCTCTCCTTAATTCCAAAGGCCAATCTTTGGATTGCAAATTGGAAGAACCAGAAGAAACTGTATCCACAAGGCATTATCCTTTGTCTTGTGAGGGAGGCTTCAGGCAAATCTAGATATAGAGAGTTGAGAGAAGCCTTGGGTATTCTCCTTGGTCATTCAGAAAGACTGGCATTGATCAGGGTATGGTATTCTGTGTAATGACAAACACACAGATTTTAGGGCATTCTTCCTTTTCGCTGGGCTCTTTGCTCAGGAATGGTGGGATTGTGATAGAAACAGTTTGCATAGAATTTTCATTTAAAATTCCTTTAAGTCGTCAAGGGTAGATTGTTGTAGTTAATCTGGCAATCTGTATGATAAAATTCGTGGTGCAAACATGTATGAAAGATTAAGCCTGACTTGTTGGAAGTGCACCTTAAAGAGAGACAACCAGGCGTCTGGCATAGTAACAGTGGTGAGATACAGCCACAAGAAGGGCCCCACACTTACCAAGCCTTGTGGCATCATGAAGAATAGCAAGGAGCTGGTTGATTGCTACTCTGCTTGCCAATAGTATAGAGATCTTATGCCTGGGGCATTTTTTAAACTACAGTTTCACTTGGTGATGCAACTTCAGGCTCAGTAGTGCTTGTCTGCCTGTCTTCCATTTAACAAAGGGCTATGTATCTAGCTTTAAGATGAATAAGGTCAGTGGCCAGTTCAGGTGGGCGTAATGCCCATTATTCTTTGTCAGGAACCAGCTGCTCAAGAGTTTGCTGAGTTCTGCAGATGGCTTTAGCTGGCAGGCCTTGAACATTCATTCTCAGGGGCGTGGAACAGTCTTTCATGAGACCCTGCTTTGGCTAAGTTTTGCCCACTGCTAGCTCTGCTCCCAGCACTGTCTTTCATGGAGAAAGTAACCTTAGCTGTCCTGGTCTAGTACCTTGTGAGGTCAGTCCTTAGGAAGTGGCTTTGCTGTTAACTCATCGTTGTCCCATGGCCTGTGTGACATGGGGTTCCTGTCTGGCTTGTGCGTCACACCATTTATGACCTCTCTTTGGAATTTGGCAGTGTCCTGGGCGTCTTTCTGAATAGGGAACAGCTCCTGGGTTTTGGTCCTATAATTAGCTCAAACTTGGAGGGGGCCACAGTCCCTTTAACAGAGAGGGCGGGGTAGAAAACCCGTGTGACACCTTGTTTCCTACCTATGCCCCTTCTTGCCTTCGTACCTGGCCGTCTGAACAGTGCAGCAGATGGGTCAGAACTGATTTTGAATTCCAGCTCTGCCACCTGCCAGCTGGGTGACTTACTTTCCCCTTACTGAGCCATGTTTTCCTTATCTGTGAAAAGAATGGTGCAAGTCCCTACTGTGTCGGATTGCTGGGAATATGGCATGAGATTGGAGTACCTAGGACCCGGTAGAGGCTATGTCATTCTAATCGAGTGGGGCCCCTCGTGTCATCTGCTCCAAACTCATGGTTGACTTGACTTCTCTCCCTTGACCTTCCATGTGGCTTCTTTGGCCCCTCTGGGTTTGGTCCTTCTGGCAGTGGGCAGCATGGTCACCATGCAGCTCCAGGACCCGCTGCAGGGCTCTCTGTGGTGCTGACCTGGGTTTCACTGTCTTATTTGTTTTCCAGCATCTTTGGGGTTCTGGGTCCCATGCCCATCTTTTGCCTCATTTTTTCTTTTCACAATTTAGCAGTCTTGTCCGCTGGTTAAAGAGGACACTTGGCTGTGGGTAGGTGGGTGATGGATGAGCTGTGGATAGAAGGATCCTGTCAGGCTGAACGACAATGGCTGCTGCCCTAATTCTAAACTCTTCTCTGTTTTTCAGGGTGTACGTTTGAGGGTGTTCAGTATCAAGAAGGAGAGGAATTTCGCCCGGAAGGAAGCCAATGTACCAAGTGTTCCTGCACTGTAAGTCCTGCTGTGGATGTTCCCAGGGTGTCCTTTGGGCTAAGCGCTGCTTACACTCACCAAAAGCACCTCCAGTCTCTACAGCTTCTCTCTCATCTCCTTTTTGGGGAAAAGTCAGTCTCTCCTGATGTGGAGCCCAGGGAAAAACTCATCCACCTGGCTTGGTGCTACTAACATACCAGGCTGGGGAATTCTTCCTCATGAGCCTGTCCTGTGCATTGGAGTATGTTTAGCAAGGTCGCCTGGCTCCACCCACTGGATGCTGGTAAAACCCTCCAGCTCTATCGCCCACAATGTCTGCACACCACCCAATGCCCCATGGAGGGCAAACTCGCTCCCAAATGAGAACCTCTGCTCTGAAGCATGAGGAAGAGAGGCTGATTTTCCTTCATGTGCCTCCTTTTTGAGGGGAAAGCATGGATTTTCTGTTCCTCGGGGGCTGAGGGGCTTCTTGCTGAGACAGCTGCTTGGTTCTTTAGTGCAGCCAAACAAGAAGCACTGGGGACAAACACAGCTTGCTTCCGTGCATCCTGAGGGGAAGGAACCTGGTCTGAAGACTGATCATTTACAGGTTGCAGAGTGGGTAGGAGGAAATCTCTTGAAATTGGGGGTTCAGGGCAGAACAGGAATCAGTGAGACAAAGTCACAGGCTTCTCTTTCTAAGCATTGCTGAATTCTAATCCATATACTAATGATCTCTCCACATGCTTAGATATGAAAAAGAACTTGGCACATTCTACAACTTTAAGGGGATCTTTTAAATTAGTATATGTTAAATTTAGGGTGAAATCAGTGGTGGTGATAGTGACAGGGAATATAGTCTTAATCAGCTGCTGCAACTTATTTACAGTAGGAAGTTAGTACAACCATTCTGTGTTTTAAGCTTTTAATATGTTATAATAAAGAACATACATTTTCCAAGTCACTTGTGACTCAGTATGCCTCTCGGAATATTAAAAAGAAAATACACGGGGAACTATAGCATCCTAATTTCACCAATGCAGAATCATATGTGGATCAGCATAAATCACAGCATTTGTCATTTCTCTACATGTGTTTTCAAAAATCTTTCCTCCTTCCTGCAGCACAAATGCACCCAAGCTAGAGAATACGGATTAGAGGAAATATGACCAAGTGTGATGGTTTTTATATGGGGGACAAGGAGGAAAAAAAAAGGAAGGGAGGGAGGCAGAGTATATATGTATATCTCTATATATCTAGATATAAAACATATGTAATATACATCATGTATATGATAATATATAAAAAACACAAAAGTAATGTGCTAATGAAAATGAGCATGAACTTGCATATTCCAGTTTAACCTCCATGTTGTTCCTCTCCTGCTAATTATGACTAAATAGCTGCATTTAAAAAAAAAAAAATTTAAAGATGGAGTCTCGCTCTGTCTCCCAGGCTGGAGTGTAGTGTCACAGTCTCAGCTCACTACAACCTCTGCCTCCCAGGTTCAAGCAATTCTCTTACCTTAGCCTCCTGAGTAGGTGGGATTATAGGCTTGAGCCACCATGCCTATCTAATTTTTGTATTTTTTGTAGAGATAGGGTTTCACTATATTGACCAGGCTGGTCTTGAACTCCTAATCTCAAGGGATCCACCTGCCTCGGCCTCCCAAAGTGCTGGGATTACAGGTGTGAGCCACTGTGTGAGCCCAGCCTAAATAGCTTTAATTTTTTATGTAAATGATTTCTATTTGCCATTAAATATTACCCATTTCTCGATTTTATTTCTTCCATACTGGAAGCTATAAAGTTTCCTGATAGTTTTTTAAATTGATCTCATGCCTTTGGGAGTAGATTGAGGAAAATCAAGGCATATTTCAATAGGAAATTGTAAATGTGTACCTGAATGAATTGCCTTTCCTAGTAAAGGTGTGCCAAGGTCAGGCAGCCGAGCCTCCTTGGAGAGGAAATTTAGAAGGTGGTAAGGAGCATGGAAAGTCCCTGCAGCTGTACCAGTGACAGCCAGCCAGAGTTATCCAGTGCTGGAACTGGAAATGAGCTTAGAGCTGATATGTACGGGGGTCACAAGCCTAACTGTACTGCAGGCGTTCTGATTCATATGTTTTTAAACACAATGTGTGATGAATGAAACACCAAGTTTTCCTCCCTGGTGAGTTCTTCACAGACCTAGAGTCTGTTCCTTTCTCATATCCTTATATTTTCATTTCCTGTATTCCCGTATTCTTTCTAGTTTTCTACAGTGCCAGCCTTGGCACTCAGAGGGCAACTAATGACTTTGATTATGTTCCTGATGCCAGTCTTTGGATTAATAGAATAAATGAGAGAGACAATGGAGTTCTTGCTTGAAGATAGGACATTTGTGTGGTCATCTTAGGTATGGGGAGTGTCATAAGAGCAGTTTTTCTTTTATGTACACAAACATTGGAGATGTAATCATGCTTTTTGGTTGGTTGTTAGTAAAATAATCTGGTTTTTAATATTCTTTCATTTTTGCTGTCTTTTGATGGAGTACGCTAAAAAAAAAAAAAGTAATGTCTTGGCAGCAAATGGCCCTCTCTTGAGGGTGGTAGCTGTGGAGATCTTCACTTCGGAATGGAATATTCTGAATGTATGGCCTGGCTCTGTAACGAGGAGGCATGGAGTTTGCCAGTGTTGCCGTGGCAGCCAGCTTGGAAGCTTTGGCGTGAGGTGCGTGCGGGTGTGCGGCGCTGGCTTGCTGCATGAGAGGGCAAAGCTGGAGAAGGGCTTTAGACAGGACCCGTGCAAGGTCAAATGCCCCACCGAGGAGGCTACCGGGGGGGTGTTGAGAAGGTTAGGCTGCTTTCCTGTACAAATGAGGACTGCATATAATAACCTGTTGTGCTTTGGTAAAAATAGAAAGATGTATATATAGAGAAATATAAACATTATTTAAGCATGTATATAGTATTTACATGACTATATATTTGTATGTATATCTCTGTATTTATAATTGCATGTATCTATACACACACACATATAAATATGTAAAAGTGTGCCTATAAATACAAATATAAACACACACATTTGCATGTCTAAGGTTGGATGCCCCAGAAACAGAACTTGAGACAAGTATATACATGTAAGTGTTTTGTTTGGGAGACGCAGAAGAGTGTGGAGGGGAGACAAGGGTGAAGTAGGAGCCAGTTGAGGGATGTCACCAAGTGCTGTGGTCTGAATGGTCCCCAAAGTTCATGGCTTGAAACAATCTTCATTATGGTGGTATTAAGAGGTGAGACACTTAACGGGGTGATTAAGCCATGAGGTCTCTGCTGTCATGAATGTCCAAGTGTCCTTATATAAGGGCTCAAGGAGGAAGTTCGTTTCTCTTGCCCTTCTGTCACTCGTGCCATGAAAGGACACAGTGTTCCTCCTCTTTGGAGGTGGCAGCAACAAGATGCCATCTTGGAAGCAGAGAGAGCAGCCCTTGCCAGACACAAAACCTACCGGCACCTTCATCTTGGACTTCCTGGTGTTCGGAACTGTGAGAAATAAATTCCTGTTCTTTATAAGTTACCCACGCTCAGATATTTTGTTATAAGAGTACAAATAGACTTTGACACCAAACGAGCTACCGTTGTGTGTGACCAGAGCTTAGTCTTGCTGGAGAAAGTCTGGAAGCCAGTGTAAAATTCATGCCTCAGAATGTTTTCACTGAAGGAGTGAGAGAGCTGAAATACCCACACACCAACTCCAACCAGGCTTTGGTTGAGGGCTGCTCCCAGAGGGTCTTGATTGGGTAGCATTTCCAGCCTATCCCTCAGGTGGCAAAGTGCCCTTTAGCAGCAAGAGGCAGAAACACAAAAACAGATATTTCTCAACTTACGGTGGAGTTGTGTTCTGATACAAGTTGAAGATATCTTAGGTTAAAAATGCATTTCACACACCTAACTTACTGAAGCATAGGAGCTTAGCCTAGTCTTCCTTCAGCAAGCTCAGAACACTCACTTATATTAGATACAGTTGGACAAAATCATCTAACATGAAGCCTATTTTGTAATGAAGTACTGAATAGCTCATTAAACTTATTGAAAACTGTACTTAAAGTGAAAAGCAGAATAGTTGTATGGGTACATGTGCTACTGAATGCATATTGCTTAAGTCGAAGTATCATCATGGGCTAACTGTACCGGCAGTTAGAAGTGTGGGCATGTGCACACACCCAAATGGTAAGGATGAGAGGATGTGGGTAGGGCAGCAAGAGAGTCAGCTACAACATATATGTGTATCCATATGTGTTCATGTATATGCACATAAACATCTATACATTTATTTGTGAATATGTTTGTGTATATGTGCAGATGCATATGCATACATGCATATTCGAAATACTAAACCACTAGCTTTTTCCCAAGTATTACTCTTTTGCCTCCACTCCTTTGCTCATGCTGCTACCTGTCTGTAACTCCTTTCCTCTGCTCGCTCACCTGGTGAATGCTTGGCTTTTCCAATCTGTCATCGCCACCCCACTGCAACTCCCTGAGCCCCTGATTTTCCCAAGGAGAAGCAACTGTTTTCTCTGTTGTATTCCTGAGGCTCCATGGTTTTCACTTGTTATAGCTTCCCTCCTATCCCTCCCTCCACCTCTGTGCTTAGCACCACTGGCAGGCACTCAGCAATGTGAGCACCCTTCTTTTTTTCTATTGCTGCCTTTTGATGTAGTACACTAAGAAAGAGTAATGTTTCCCCTTCTGTCCTGTGACTTCTACCCTTCCAAGCGGGCCAGCCTATTCTTGCCTGGGAGAGTAACTCTGGTTAGATATCCCCTTATCACTAGCTTACTGTTCACCTTGGGGACACGCCCTATGGAGTTGTGTGTGTGAAGCATCCCTCAGGGATATCATCTAGCTCCAATGAATGAACTGCAAACTCTTCATGGTGTCCCCACTCCCAAATGGCTTATATGTACCATGTGGCTTATATTTGAGGTCCAGCTCACTTAGTTACACTCTCTGAATTTGTAAAAATTTGTCTACTGATGTTTTTGTGACGTGGTGACAG